ACTTTCCGCGAACTTCACCAAATGACACATGTACTGTAGGTTTTCTCTCGGTGCTCTCGCTGACACTCAGGGCAGCGCAAATACCGCGACTAAAAAATGTAAAGCTAACGTTTGGTGAAATACAAATATCTGGAAGTTTTGGAGTGAGCGGTTCTATAAGCTCCACAGGAATTTATTTTTTAAAACAGTCAGGATATCTAGCCAACGCTGATCAGACGTTAATACTTAATATCCCAAGCTTTAGTATATTCATCTTTGGGGAATCCTAAAAAGAGAAATCAAATACAATGGGTTACAGTAATTAATTTATAAATCGTTTCACTGTGGGAATAAGGGGTTACTTTATTACTTTCTCGAGATAGGCAGTTCAGTCAATTAAGGAAATCTGCCTATTTCTTGCATTGGAAGCTGGAGAAAAAACTACGGGAGACAAGTAAATGCGATATATATATATATATATATATATATATATATGCGCATCCCTCGCTTTATTGAGCATCTTGGACCATAAAAGTAGGGCTGCAGCGTGGTCCTATCTCCAATGAAGTCGCCCCTCAAAGCCTGTGAGTTTATTGCCATCAGTATTCATGAGGCTGGACGGACCCACGAGGAATAGAAATAACAGCGAACATTAAAATAAAATCTATTACCAGGCCCGTGCGAGGCTGAGCCCGGCTCAAGCCTGGCTGCCCGGGGAGCCGGCAGCGTGGGGCGGGGAGGAGGGGGGTACCAGGGGCTGGTGACAAGGGGGGCTGGTTCCTGGCGAGCCCTGGGAACCCCCTGGGCAGCAGCACGTGTCCCCCCCCGTCCTCCCCACCCCCAACAGAGGGGGAAGGGGGAGCTGGGGCGCAGACACCGGCTGCAGCACCGCAGCGGGCGTTCCGGTGGGGGCGGCATCAAGGAGGGGCTGTGATTTAAAGGTTAGAGCTTCCCCATCTTCAAAAAAAAAAATAAAAAAAATAAAAAAGACATTGAGGTGCTGGAGCGGGTCCAGAGAAGGGCAACGAAGCTGGTGAGGGGTCTGGAGAGTAAGTCTTCGGAGGAGAGGCTGAGGGAGCTGGGGTTGTTCAGTCTGGAGAAGAGGAGGCTGAGGGGAGACCTTATGGCGCTCTATAACTACCTGAAGGGGGGGTGTAGAGAGGTGAGGGTTGGTCTCGTCTCCCAAGTCACAGGCGACAGGACAAGAGGAAATGGCCTCAAGTTGCACCAGAGGAGGTTTAGATTGGATATTAGGAAACATTTCTTCACGGAAAGGGTTATCCAGCATTGGAATGGGCTGCCCAGGGAAGTGGTTGAGGCACCATCCCTGGAGGTGTTCAAAAGACGGGTAGACATGGTCCTTAGGAATATGGTTTAGTGATTTTTTTATTGCTTATTTCTTATTTATTTTCTTGTCAGAGTTAGGTTGATGGTGGGACTAGATGATCTTCAAGGTCCCTTCCAACCTAGAGGACTCTATGATTCTATGACTGCGAAGGAAAGTTTGTCCTCTCAGGACTGATAAGCGACAGACCAAACGGTGCCTGAAAAAAAGTCCCCTCCTCCCCGTGGCCTCTGTCCCTCTCCGCACCTCGGGAAGACCAGACGGATGGAAAAGTTGGCTGCGACTCCCTCCCGCAGCTCCCGCCTCCGGGAGCGGGTGGGACCCGGCGGCAGCTGCCACCCCGGGCAGTGCCATCAGCCCGACCCGGGGTGTCCCCCCACCACCCCCCGCCCCGCACGCAGTCACCCCCCGCCCTCGGGCTGCCGCCGTCATCGCGCCCCGGGGCGGTTTTAATGATGGAGTGAGGAGCATCTAGCAAGGGATGTGTCTCCAGCCGGGCGGGACAACTTCACCCCCTGTTTGCCAAACGGAGGAGAATCCAGCAGGACGCACAGGGCAGGCTGCAGGGACAACGTGTCCACCCCTGCCTCCAGAAGACACCGGGGAGGAGGAACAGAAGACCCTGAGAACATCTGGAGGTCTTCGCCTCCTCAGTCTAGGGCTGGCGCTCGGGGCAGAGGGGGAAGACTGACTGAATTTTCTACCTTTCTGGCCGAAAAGAACCCCATAAGCACGTGAACAGAAGGAGTTTAAAAGTAGTGGAGGAGTTTGGTGTTCCTTCGGCCAAGGAGAAGGTCTCACCCACCAGCTTCTGCCCCAGCCACCGTGGTGGTGCGGGCAGAGCCGGGGCCTGGGCTGCCTGCGCTGGTGGAGACCTGCTCCATCCCCTGCCAGCCCAGAGACCCCGGCCGGAGGGGCAAAGGAAGCCCGGTGGGATGTGGGGAGGAAGGTGAGGTCACGGGGACCAGCCGAGGAGCCCCCGGTGGTTGCCTGCCCCTTGGCTGGCTTTTCACCGCCGGTGGGGAAAGGCAGGATGCTCGGGCCTTCCTCCCAGAGCTGGGGGCTTCTCCGCAAAAAGCGGTGGTGTCCCCCACTTGGGGTTCCTCTCCACCCCTTTCCCCAGGGAGGCTTTCTGATCAGAAGGCACGGGAGCTTAGAAAGAGCTAAAATAAGTCGTACGGCTTTAAGAAAAAAAAAAAAAAAAAAAAAAAAAAGAAAAAGAAAAAGAAAAAAGAAATCCACATAAAGTGTGATTTGGCTACTCTGATGCAATGATCTGTATAAATGAGGAGAGCCTAACCTCGCTTCAGACCAGCGTCTTTCAGCTTCAAGTTGACCCCCCACCAGAGATGAAGTTGTGTTCCACCACCCCAGGGGAGGCGGCAATGGATGGATGGATGGATGGATGGATGGATGGATGGATGGAGACCTGGCTCCCTGGGGCAGGAGGAGTTCCTCCCGGACTGGATGGGGAGCTGGGGAAGGGCTTATGAAGACAAATGTGGACTTTACCTGGGGTTGTGGCGTGTGCTCAGTGTGTGTGTGTGTGTGAGTGTGTGTGTGAGTGTGTGTGTGTGCCCGCCCTCTCGGCTTGTGTTTATGCGCATAAATAAGAGGCGCTCGGGAGAAACGGCGCGATTCCGATGGACTTCCCAGGCTGTCACATCCCTGCTCCAAACACCCCGCCGCCTCCAGCCCTGCTCCCACAGACCCGGCAGCAGCTGGTGGGGGACCGAGGGACGGCTCCAGAGTGCCCCAAGGGGACAGGATTCCCCCCCCGGGGGGGTGGCATTCCCTAGGGACTCACATTAATCCCGCAGGCACAGTAGCAGGTTCCGTGCTTCGACGGTTTTGACTTCAACTTCATAAGCAGCTAAAAGAAAAAAAACCCACCAAAACCCAAACAAAACGCTCTAAAACGGCACAGTAACCCCGAATCACTCATCAAAACAACCGTAATAACCCTCGTGTCACTCCTGACCTGTTTCATTCAAATGCAAGAGTGCTCAAAGAATAAACCACAGAAAAGAGAAAGAAAAGAAAGAGAGAAAGAGAGAAAAGAGAGAAAGAGATAAAAGAAAGAAAGAGAGAAAGAAAGAGAGAAAGAAAGAGAGAGATAAAAAAGAGAGATAAAAAAGAGAGAAAGAAAGAGAGAAAGAGAGAGAGAGAGAGAGAGAAAGAGAGAAAGAGAGAAAGAGAGAAAGAGAGAGAGAAAGAGAGAGATAAAAAAGAGAGATAAAAAAGAGAGAAAGAAAGAGAGAAAGAGAGAAAGAGAGAGAGAGAAAGAGAGAAAGAGAGAAAGAGAGAAAGAGAGAGAGAAAGAGAGAGATAAAAAAGAGAGATAAAAAAGAGAGAAAGAAAGAGAGAAAGAGAGAAAGAGAGAGAGAGAAAGAAAGAAAGAAAGAAAGAAAGAAAGAAAGAAAGAAAGAAATTTTTTTTTTTTTTTTTTTTTCCTCCAGGCTGTATAAGATGGAATTGACTCGTTTCTTGAATAAAAAGTAGCAAGAAGAAGAGGGAGGGAAGAGGGAAAGGACGGAAAGAGAGAGAAAGAAAAAGAAAGACAGAAAGATGGGGGGAGGAAGAGAAGGAGAGAAAGAGAGAGAAAAAAAAAAGAAGGAAGGAAGGAAGGAAGGAAGGAAGGAAGGAAGGAAGGAAGGAAGGAAGGAAGGAAGGAAGGAAGGAAGGAAGGAAGGAAGGAAGGAAGGAAGGAAGGAAGGAAGGA